CCCCCCGCCGGCCGGGAGCGGCCGCCTCTTCCCGCATGTCTCCTCAGTCGGGTGGAGGGGAGGTTTGTCCACTCGCTCACATTGCCCACGATGACGATTTGTGTTAAGAACTTTTTTAAGTATTTGTTGCAATTTTCAATGTAGCTTTTTTGTTTGTTTGTTACTTAGAGCAGGACCTTTTACCTTTACTTAGCCATGGTGAAATTTAGAAGAGGATGCAGCTATAAGACATGCTAGATATTGTTGTGGCAGTCTGCTGGTTGTAGATATTTTTAAGGTGTCTCTTATACTCTACTTTTAGACACCCTTTTATTAAAAAAAAAATCACAAAACTGCTGCACACATACCTAATCAGCAGTTAGAAAGGTGATTTTTTTTTGCAGACTAGAAGATCTTGGCTTTTATACTGCATATCTTAACTCCAAGCAATAGCTGTTACGTCTTGGGCTATTACTACACGAGAAATACCTTGAGGTATTTCTAAATCGAGATTTTCAGGAAAAAATATACTATGAGTTTGTTACTTTAAATTTGTCAGACTGCTAAGAGGATAATCGTGTTGAGAAAAAGCATTCTAGAATGCCAGAAAAGCACAGCAATGCAAAAGACATTTTTCTGACATGGACTAAGTCTAATTGCACAGAAAATATCAGTTAGAAAAGAAGAACCTCATTTGGGAGGCAGTATTTTGTCATTAATCTCCTGACTGTTAATGGTGCTTCACCTCACCCACCTTATGGCACGTTAAAAGAAGGGCCGGGTGGTCCAGACTCCTGCTCCTCTCCCACAGCAGAGTGAGACCGGCCTCCTGAGGGGAATTCTGCTGGCCTTTACTGCCCGTGCAGGTTACGGGGAGCAGCTCCCTGGGTACCTCTCTCTCCAGCTGCTGCAGAGGCTCCGCTGGTGCCTGCGCAGACCGGGCCGCGCAGGGGTCACCGCCACCACGCTCACTAGCTCCACCTCAGTGACAAGCCGAGCTGCCTTTTCCCTGCTGGGCTGCAGTCATGGGCAGCCCAGCCACCTGCCAAAGATGCCGGTCCGTAGGCGCCGGACGTTCAGTCCTCGGCCTCCAGAAACCTGAGGGTGACACCTGGCTGCACATCTGGACAGGCAGTGACGCGTGTCTGCGGAGGAAGGCACTGAAGCGCTGGCCAGGAACAGCCACACGTGCCCTGCGTGGCCCCCATGAAGGCCCCCATCCCCATGGCTGAGAGGTCTCTGAACGAACAGCAGAAAATGCCTTTTCCAGTTGAAGGACTGTGATTGACTACAAAAGAGAATAACCACCGTATGCAGCAAAATAGTTGCTACACCAAGAATCTCAAAATTATGCTTGGTCCAGGTAGAAGAGTAGCTCTAACCAACTCCTTTGGCCTATATTTGAATGACAAATGGAAAGACTATGAGCCAAACAGAATTAACAAGGTAAATATAGCAATAAAATCATGTGACAACTCTGTGTCTTGGTGTATAATCATTGCCTACACTTTTTATAACTCAATATAATCATATTTTATAGTGCAATCTAGGTTCTCACATATCCTATAGAATATTAAGAACTCCAGAAACCTTTAAATGTAATAGATCCCCATCACAATGTCAGACTGAAGTTTGCAATTGTGTTTCTATGCAGAAAACACATTTCTAATATATGTCTTTGGATCTGTGTTTCCTCAAATTGTGACCTTTATATCTCCAGGAGGTTTTTCAAAGAAGAGTTCAAAGCAGGGCATAGAAGTGTTTATACCACTCAGATGATGACCTAGCTGCTGGCAGCTAGTGAAGGCGGTTCTAATGTTCACACTTTGGGCAATTACAGCCATTTTTCTATCCCTCCCAGTGTGGAAGAACTTCTGACCTCAGAGAGGGAGACAAGGAGCAGGGCTCAGTAGGGAAGCCAGCTCACAGAGCCCCGCTCCGAGGAATGCTCCAGCGGCCCCAGGCCCTTACAGCTTCAGTCATAACGCACTGGCTCTTCTGTCCATCTGCCCAGCACACACAGATGCGCACAAACACTTCAGAGGGTGAAATTGGACCTTTAGACTCCGCAGCACATAAAGCAAAGTCTTCAAAGTGTAACACGGCAAAACAAAAGCAACTGAACTCCGAACATTCAATAAATATCCACAAAGATTACTGGCTAAAGTACAGAAATTAGTTTCTGCCAAACGCCACACCTCCAACAAAAACCTCATCTGTCTGCCCATTCTCTTTTGGTGCACAAATCAGATCAGTCACTAGAGCACATGGATTTATTTGCACGATGTGGAGAAAATGTCACTTTCATTGCAACTTTCTCACCACTAGTCATAAACTACAGAAGGGGTGTGAGGTTTGCAAATAGCTGGAGCTTGTTGGTGGGATTGCAGGCAGCAGCAGGTACCCGCAACATGACCGCTTTGGCCAATTCAGAAAAACAGAGGCTTTAGCTTACTCACAGCTTCATGAACTCGATGACTAAAAGGAAAGTATTAGGGAACTGCAAAATCTCCATGGATCAGTAGATTACGTATGTTGGAGACCTCCTCCTCTTCATAGCGCAACAAGTGCGGAAAGCTTCCTATGGTTACGGCAACCTTATGTTATCCTACTCAGAAACCCATTTCCCTCTTTTAATCCTCATCCTCTCTGAAAGACTTTCTAGCTGAGCCAGTTTGCCTCCTGATCCAGCTTTCCAGCTGCGTGTCTCTTAAAGGAGGTGTTTATGTTTTAGAGTGAGCAACTGTTTGCTAATCATTTGCTAGTGACAACTGTTTGTTAGTATTTGACATTAGGAGCTATCAGCTACACCAACATTTGTTACCCTTCACAACACCCTTTCATATGCAACAACTCCCTGCACTGCTGACAGAGAAAAGTCTTGAGTATTAAACGCAGCTTGCATTTGTTTGGATTTTTTTCCTTCTTCCTTGCTCTCATCACCTCATGGATTTCTATCAGCTTGACCTCAACTGTGGCGTGACATTTTCCAGCTTCTGGCCTGCTGGTGACAGCCCCGCATGGGGAGGGGGCTCCTTGGAGTTGTAGCAAGGCTCCCAGGCTGCTGCCAGCAGGCAGATACGAACTGCCTCACTGAACCCCCCCGGCGGCCAATAAATGCAAACAATTCAAAGCTGAAACTGTCTGGCAGCTGCAGCTGATTTGAGAAAAGTTTTGTTGTGCCAGGAAAATCTTTTCCTTCAGTGAGGTTGTCCCTGGAACACATTAGGAGCCCCAAACCAGAACAATATTCTCAGGGTGGAGATTATTTTCTTCTCTGTATTAGTACTTAGCAGATATTGGAAAGGGCCTGTCATGCAGGACAGTGCCAACGCTGAGACATTAGCTGTGTTTTATCAGGCAGTAACGGTGCATGCGTGAGCAGCCAACAGGCCAGCAGCAGGAGCAAGGGGCAGAAGGCCAGATGTTACTTGTGTTCAGGAAGCCCGCTCACCTTTGCGGGACAGGGCACAGCTACAGCCGCTAGGCCACACAAGGCACATCTCGTCCATCGTTACACGTTTTGCTGAGCAGTGCTATGAGCTATGCTTGTTTCTGCGGCGCAGACACAGCTGGCAGCAGAGAGATGCCCCAGCTCTCATTGGCTGAAGTGGCTTTAGAAGCCCCAGGGTCCTGTGTTAGAGCTGTGTGCCCCAGTGCAGGGGCTGCTCCCTGGAGGTGGCAGTGACAAAACGCTCCAGCAGAAGAATCTCCCATTTGCCCTGCTGGGAGGAGGCCTGCATGCTGGGAGCAGGGGCGTCAGGGCAAGACGAGCCCAGCACCCCTAGCTCTAATGCCAATGAAAGCAGCACAGTGCACAGCGGGGCAGCAGGCACCAGCAGCTCCGGCAGCTGCCCTCGTGTCAGGCTGCGGCAGGACCCTCTCCCCGCACGCAGCCGTCAGCACTCACACCATCACGGAGGCCTCCTGTGCTGCCAGCACAGGGGAGAACCTTCTGGAAGAGAGGCGCAATGGATTACAAAGCCAATCTGAAAAAAAAAGGAAAGCCAATCACTACTTGACACCGATCAATCTTTTTTTGGTAATCTTATTACAGAAAAGAATTTTTTTATCACATTATAATCTTTTTAAAATTAACACAGCAACACAAAGTATAAATTCATTATCAGTTTTTCCAACTTTGTGACCTTTCCAGAAACACAGCCATTTCCTCAGAAAAAAGTATGACAGAAAGAGTTTAAATCCTATCATCGGTGACGGTGGCCAATGCTACCAGTTGAGCCCAGCTTGTGCAGCTGCCTGAGCTCACAAAGCTTTTAAAGAGGGAAGCCACAGAAAAGAGGCTGCTCTACTGAGGGCATCTGCAAAAATTTACGCGTGCCCTCATTTTCACAGGCACGCATCTTCGTAGGGCCTTTTTCCAAAGCAGCCTGGCCCACGTGTGAGCAGAGCCGGGCATTTCCTTGGTGATAGAACTAGACAGTCCGAGCGCCGCTGGGCTGAACGTCCCGAGGTTTATTTTGCTAAGACAGTGAGCAGCTCTCTGACGAAGCCTCTTCAAGGCTGAGGTGGGGAGTCCAACAACATCTTCAGCAGAAAGCAACAGACAAAATAAATGACCTTAACAGTGAAGCAACCAGACAGGTAAAACTTGCACCTGAAGAGCATGTTTGGTGATAAAGGTGATGAACACAACGCAGTTTACAGCTGCAAAGCAGAGATCTGTTCCAGTACTTACACATTTAACCTTGTTTCGCTTTCGTGTTTTGAAACTCCAGTCACATGAAAGCAATGGCTTTGCCTTCTGGAAAGCAGCTAAACTCAGCTGCGTGTCACCAGCAGGCAGTAATTTCAGTGGGAGATTCTGGCTTCCATGGGCTGCGTGGCAAGAGTGGTCTCTGGTTTGAAAGGCAGAACAGTACCAAGCACTTGCTTGCAGGACCCCTGTGAAGGCTCCATCTCAACAATTCCTGGGAGTTCTTCTGCTACTGCTCTTTCCTCTTTCCAGCACTACCTGCCACCTTCACACCCTGTATTAGCGGTGCTACCTACTACTGATCACTCTGGTTTCTGCCAGCATGAAAAAGGCAAGCTCAGCATGATGAAACACAGGGGCACTGCATGGGCAGAGAGACAGAGGAGAAAATAAAACAGATGATTAAAAAGGAAAAGGAAAAAAAAAAGAAAAAAAAGAAAAAGAGGGGTAGCAGACGCCTTAGGAAATGAGATGATCCCTTGGAGAGCAGCAGTGCGTTAGAAAGCTGTTTATGAAACAGCCTTTAGTTCAGTCCAGACGCCGGGTGAGGGGGGCATGACCCCTGCAGCATCTCTGCCCACTTGTTTATTCCTCTAAATGGGGGGCATCCACAGCTCTCCAACAGGAGCACTGCCCACAAAGGGACTGCCAGCCCTAACTTACTAACTAACTTACTAAAATTCTTGTCTCAAAGCTTAATGAGGTTCATCCTCACCACAAAATACATTTCCCAGTATTTCCTTTTTGGAGCCTTCCTTTGCAGATGCAGCATTTCTGTTAGCCTTTTACATATTCCCAATACAAAAATATGGTGTGTAAAGACAAATATTTATGTGTCATACTTATAGCCGATAAAACTGTGGAATGCTTTGGAATTTAGCAGTCTACCCCAAAAAATCAGAGAAACCTGGCTTTAAAAATTCCCAAAGTTCCAAAAATATCTACTATCCCAAATGACTTTTTTTTTAGTACAGTATCTGTTTTGATTGAAATTGACTGGAAGACAGCCAAAACCGCTTATATAAAACTTAACATTTGTGTATTAGAAACAGAAGTTCATCAAGACACTATGTTATACCTCAGCAGTCTTATAAAATCCAGCCATTTCTAAGATATTACTTTTCTACTTCTCTTGTTCCCATCTGTGGAACAGGAGGCAAAGATAAAAAGGGGATACTTGGGAAAATAAAGGTCTGTTCTTGAAGTTACAAACTTGACATACCCATAAATCATCTTTAACTTGATTTTGAAATCTATTAAAATGCAGGCATTGTATTTACTCAGATCCATTATGAGCCAAGATTTAAAGAATTAACGTGTACAGGCCACAATATGAGAAAAAATATCAAGAACAACTCAGGCTGAAACCACATGAGCGGTTTGAGGCACTAATGCAAGGTTTGCCTTGCCCCGTTTCTTACTTTTCTAGTTAGCACTTACTTTGTGATCTAATGTTGAGGATTCTTAATGAAGATAAATCTCCCTTGAAGAAGGAAAACCTTATTGTGCTTTTTTCAACAAAGCATTGGTTTTACAATAGCTCTGCAGAGCTTAACTCACCTGGTAAATAAAAAATACCCCATTTTAAAACAAAAAGCTCAGGAGGATTCGTTGCTGTAATAAAGAAACACTCCAAAGGAGATGCACTGCATGTCTGCAGAGAGATGTATAGTGACTTACAGCACTTTCTCCTAGTGCACAAACATTCATACACAAGTTTACATGAGGACAATTAACAAGAAAATATGTTCTACCTTTCAGAAAGAAAGCATGGATTTCTACTGAGGCTTCAGAAAAGGCAGACGACAATAACCACAACTTATTAAAAATGCCAATCTAGCAAACAGTGGGCAGTTCTTCCTATCCTTTCCAACTCTTGGGTAGTTGTAGTGATAACTGAAGACATGGGAAAGGCCACCCTGGAAGGAGACCTTCATCCTCTTCTAGTTGGTCTTAAAACAAAATAAGAGCCTGGCAGCTAATGAATCTCAAAGAAAAACAAACAAACCCCCCCGACACATTCCGAGCAGATGTGTCTCAACCCTTTTACTAAGGTAGCATCACTGGAGGTTGAAGGAATATTCATACTCATACCTGTCCTCATGCTCCTTCTGCCACCCACTAGCCACCAAGCTACCCGTCTCTGTAAATCACCGCACCACTGTCTGTGAGGCAAGAACCCCTGAGAGGCTGTTTAGTCTCTAAAAAAAAGCAGCTAAACCCAACACATTTCCGAGAGGTCACTGATGAGGCCCTGGATGGTCAAAGTACCCATGAGAAATAAATTCTAACAGAAAAGCTCCTTCAGCGCCTTCAGCATTTTGGTTCACAGTTATTTAGCAGGTAAAATACAAGCTGCAGTCATTACAAATGCTCACACGTTTAAAAGAAAGGCTGTCACATGGTGTTAATTAGAGTTGGCCCAGAAAAAAAAAAACTCGGAGCGTCAAATATTAAACACTGAAAAATGCAGAATTCTGTCATTCGAAAGGAACTTGATTGCACACGTTAAAAATCTTCTTATGAAGGTCAGTCTAGTCCAGAGACATAGTTCACATAACATCGAAACTCATTGGCTAAATTGCGAGAGTGTCTTGGAATAAACTTGCACATCTTCACGCCAAGATGCTTTGCTGCCTGCTCCTCCATGACTGCACCTGCAGAAAAAAAAAAATAAATAAAAAAAGAGTATTTGATAAGAAAATCAGCAACAGAATGCCTGGGGTTTTTAGAGAGCTCCTCCCAGATACATGCATTTAGCTTAGCTTTTTAAGGAAACAAGGCTCAAAGGAACTGCAGTTTCAACCCCCTCTAACAACTGAAGCTTTGGGAAATTCTAACTAAATCTGAAAGATAGACAGAGGTCCTGTCCTCCAAGTTTAGTCAGATTAGGCAGACAGTAAAAATCACTGCCCCTTTTAGAGAAAACACAGGAATTTGGACTCCTGTTACATGCCAAAGAAATTACATGGTAGGAGTCATGGGAAATGCAAACAGATTACACACATTGTACACTTACACAAACCCTACAGTGATATTTACAGCCACACTCTGAGAAATCTCTTCCTTGAGCAATATTTCCAAAACTCTGTAATCTGAGGGACCATGTGCCCATTGCAAGAAAAAAAAACTTTGTGAACCATCTCGTGTCAGGACTGTTATAACAAGGTGACAAGCTTTATATGTCCAGATACTCTTCTCATTTAGTCTTGACTTTGCAGATCTGTAAAATGTATTTTGTTTTTAAAGATGTTTCTTGAGCCACCTTCAGATGTTTGACAGATTACAGTTTATGCAACACCAAGACTGATGCAGTCATTCAAAGCTTTTTAAATTAGCAAGTGCATCTTCAAAGAGCAAGGCCTGCAACTACAGGTGGTAGTTTTCTATTTTCGCAGCTCCCATCATTGGTATTTTATCTCTTTTAATGTCTACTTTAATTTTAATGCCTAAGAACTGATTAAAGTAATCCTCATATATAAATTCACATTACAGTTTCCATGTTCACCAGAAAGCAGCAGGTGATATGAATACACTTTTTAAAAGGCGTGGTTAAAAGCACTCCATTTTACTGAGCAAGGGCCATTCCAACCTATTTGTCATTCTTTCTACTGTGATTCTAGTTCAGCTTAGGTATTGGTGAGAAGGAAGCAACAGTTTAAATCTTGTAGCTGCTGATTTTTATGAAAAAGGGTATTAAAATAATGTTAGCAATAAACTGCATCTATATGTTTCATAGCAAGACTTCAAGCAACCATCACGATTATAGAAAAAATTCACTTTTCAAGAAAAAAATACTTCTGGAAAAGTCATAGGATTATCTTTCAAGTCTTCACAAAAATTAGGGAACACATTGTTCCGTGTGAAAAAGTTATAACGCTAATTTAACAATTACAATATTCATTTATTCAGGTTAAAGAAAAGTTGAACTAAAGCCCTTCAGTGAAAAGTTTACCCTTTTCAGGAAAAATATTCTTCCTAGAATTAATTATAAATCAGTATTATTGAGGTAGTGTCAGTCTCATTTGAGAAACTGAGTTTCATAAGAACATTCAGATCATCATTAAGCACCTTTCTTCTCCCAGAAGACAAACACACCTGTGCAAAGCAGAATCTTTCCCTTTGTTAAGTATTTGATGGTCTCTGCGGTTTTCTCAAGACACTCCTCAGAGAGATAAGGTGGATCTGCTACTACGATGTCAAAACTGTGCGGCAGGAGGCTTTCAGGTAAGCTCAAAGGATTGTTATAATCATAGAAGACAAATTCTTCCCCATACACAGAAAACCTCCTGTCATATTCGAGTATGCACACGGAAACGGACGGGTCCTCCCGCTCTTTCAGCTTCTGGTACACGCTTGGGGCACTGATACAGGCAATCCTGAAAAGAGACAACAACTCAGAACACCAAAAGGTGACAAGCACAGAACTATCCAGAGCAAAGACAATTCCTTAAATTCTCAGGACAGCTTTGGGTAAATATCTTAAGCATTTGTTCAAAAACTAACTAAGCTGCTTCTTCATTCTAACATATCTTACCGCAATTTTGAGATTCAGATTTTACACAGTAAAAAAAAAAAAAACAACACACTATTGCAATAGTAATAGGAGAGAGGAAAACAAAGAAAAAAAAAGAAAAAATAGATTCTTTCTTCGATAAAGATTTTGATAGGAATTGGCTTGAAAATTCTCCCAGACATATTTTTTCCTAAAGCTGTTTTTAGTCTATTGAAATGATTGAATATGTCTATCAGTTCCATATGCAATTTTGCATGACAGAATCCACAGGCTTGACTCACAACTGGGGCTCTCTCAGGTGATCTCATTAGGTCCCTTCTCACTGCTGGAATCTAACATGTTATGACGACCAACCGCCTGGTTTGCTTCTCCTTCGGAGAAGCGCAGAGGACTACCAGGGTCGTAACACCTCAAAAATACGTCTCATCACTTCAGTACAACTTTTGTAACTATGTGTGAAGCATTTAGGCCTTTAGCTATCCAACCTCCACACTACACAAAGACTTTAAGTGCAACTATATAGAAAAGCTTATTTCACAGAGAAATTGGAAACTTAAAAATCACTCTTTAAAAAAAGCTGATGTACAGCACTGTGTTGAATGAAAACAGAAAAGAAGTACAGGTCATATTACATGACATTAAAACACTGAAATCAAGGTCCTTAAAAAAAATTAAAAAAGGACTCACATGGCAGCACCTACAAAAGTCAGTGAAACGTTACATGGCAAGAGAGTCTGAACTATTAACTGTATAAATAAATAACGGCAAAGCACGTGCAGCACCAACTACCATGTGTACCACCAACTACATAAGTACCACCACGAAAAATGAATTAAACTTACACTCTCTTTTCATACATTGACTATTTACATAAAGCACAAAATAAATCTACAAAATAATAATTAGAACTTACTTGCCATCTTTTCCAGCTGCTGCAATAGCTTCATTAGCCAGGCAAGATGCAGTTTCCTCACTGTACCAAAACTGGCTCAGTTGCTGAGAAAAATAATAGACAATTATTAACAATGTGAAACCCTCCAAATATGCTGCGCACAGTCAGGTTTTGCTAGGCCGTCTTCGAGAAAACTAAAATCCACAGCAGCCTCTCAGTTAGCAAACTGTAAAGCTGGAAGAGAGGTGATTTTCCTGAAAGTCTCTTTACTTTCCTAATCCAGAATCAGGAAAATCAAGTAATACTGCGTCACTGGCAAGGTTAGCTCAAACCCAAAATGCAGATTCATGGTATTTGGTATTTAGGTATTCTTACATTGAGTTATTTTAGGAGAAGAGAAAGAAAGAACTTGGAAGAGTGACACCATGGGGGGAAATAAAGGATAAAAACACCAATTGGAAAAGAAGACCAGAAACAATGTGACAATTGAAAATCTAAAACAACCCACAAACCCAGAACAGTGAATCAAAGATCAGTCAAGCACAAGAAAGAAAAAAACAAAGGAAAAAAAAAAGGCAGTCATTCACAAAAACAGAGAAAAAATTATAGAAACCATACAATGCGAAAGGAAGGAGAATGATCTTGTTGTATTGTGCTTGTCTCAATTTCAGGGAGAATCTTCACTACTTTTAGATTCCAGACTGGAGTTAAAGTTTCTAGAAGGGATAGATATCTCTGTGGGCAGCTTTATTACCCCTGTGTAATTTCTGCTGGAGCTCCTCCACACACGCAGAACAGAAAAGTATATCCAGATTTACTAATGCAAACAGCCACACAACTAATGCAAATAATCCTACAATATTATTGCTCATGAATACTGCCAGATTTTGCTGCTCTGCTTTTTTCATCTCATGATCTCTACAAAAGAAACCTGCTAACGGCTGTTCCTCCCCTCTGGGTCACCAGTGGTGACTGGGCTTCAGTCATGGAGGTTTAGATTCCTACCCAGTTCTCCTCTATGGAGCCAACAGAGTATTGACTGGATCCCTGGGAGGTCTTCGTGCCCTCTCTTTGCTCTTGCTCCAAATAGAATTCCTGGAGGGCTGCCAGTGCTTGCGATGAAAGCTGGGGAATGTCGTCATCATCATCCATTTTTCTAGATATCAAACAGAAAAAAAAAAAAAAAAGAATTGCGAAAGCCAGAAAGCATTCAATACCAGCCTATTCTCCTACAGTAAAATAGCACCCATGGACACTGGGGGTTAGTTTAATACCTGAGCAGGAAGAGCTCTTTCCACGTTCAAAATGCATAAAATTGTGTATCAAAATATGTAGACTGTTTTGGAATGAACATCACCTCACTTGAACTCCCTTAGTGCAAAATACTCCTCTGAATGCTTGAAATGGTCTATAAAGTAAACAGAAGTGGACAAGAAGTTGTTTAAGGAGATCCTTTTGTAAGATAAGATGACTTGACAGAGAATCTGTGTTTTTCATGGATGAGAATTGGCCATAACTAACACCAAGCAGACACGGCGCACACTAAGGGAAGAGAGCAGCCACTTGCACACACAGCACGAACTGAGTTACGCTTCATGGTGTCACTTACCCCTGGGGCTCCCTGGCAGCTGAACAGCAGCCGAGCAGAAAGTGGGAGCGACCGAGCTCGTCCCAGGGGAGGGACAGTGCCACCTCGCGGAACACAATGAATGCACAAGAAATGAAACCCAAGAAAACTACTGGAGAAAACCAGGCAAAGGGTTTTCTTTCAAGAAACACTTTCTTTTGGCACTTGATCTAAGAATTACTACACAGCCAGGGCCTTTAAAAGAGCTTAAGAGAGTAAAAGAGCAATTACTGGGAGCACAGGAACTGTGCAGTCCTGTATAGCATCATAGAATAGAATCATAAAATGCTTAGGGTTGGAAGGGACCTCTAGAGGTCATCTAGTCCAACCCCCCTGCACACGCAGGGTCACCTAGAGCACGTGGCACAGGACTGCGTCCAAGTGGGTTTTGAGGATCTCCAGAGAAGGAGACTCCACAACCTCTCTGGGCAGCCTGTTCCAGTGCTCTGTCACCCTCACTGTTA